TTTTTTTTTTTTTTTAATGCAAAGAAGAAACTTTTATTACCTAAAAGTATAGGGGATACTTCATTCCTTCACATTCAGTTGACCTCATAAGATGCACAAGATGTACAATGGTAGTATATTAAGTGTACATTAATTTTGACTCTTAAAAAGTAGGGGTCTAAACATTTAAAATTATGTCGTTTTGTGTACAAATGAATGTTTATAAAATGTTTGGTTTGAGGGGAGGGGAGAGAAAGATTTTTTAACCAATCAAATTATAACTTTTTTTAAATATATATTAATTCAAAGATTCTTTCATCTCCTTCATTTCCTTTAAACTAAACATATTATTATAATATATGTGACTTTTCATTTTGGATTGGACTTCATTGTCTATAGGTTTTAAACGAGGTTGTAATATAATGGTACGCTTAAATTTTAAAACCTTTTAAACTACATAATTTTAAGATATCCAAATTCTTAACTTTGAGTAAGATTAAAAAATACCATATATTTCCATAAGGATGCTTGAAGTTTATTCAATTTGTCAAGAAATGTATGGACGTTTTTCCAACGTCGCTACTTTTGTTCAATTAATTTAATTAATTTATTAATTTCATTTTATCAATAATTTTGAGAAGGAAGGCAATCCTCCTATTCTTTTTTGTCAATTTCGTTTTTCTCTTCTTAATCATTTTTGTTTTGCATGTATTCTCTATATTCCTACAACTTTTTCTAAAAACAATTCCCTCAAAAAGCTAACTAGGTTAAAGTGATAAATATGGCTTATTCATTTAGTTCTTTCTCTTTTTCTGTTCAGTATTTATTTGAGAAGTGGATACAAAGGTGAACATGAGAGACATAAAAACAAAGTTGAAACCTCCATAAGCTTAAGTTGGCCTCATTTATTAAGTTTAATTATCTACTTATATTAACTGAGCTTTGAGTAGCCTTGCAGCAAGTTTGTAATGTTATAAAAGGAAAAAAGGTATGCTACCCATGCACGGAAGATGAGGAAGACCCACCCAAGCTCGTTCGTGCAATTCCTTTGATTTGGCTACCCATCCATGAAGAGTGGGGGCCTAGTGCTAGGGCTGGGTGCAATGCCCTTACAGCCACTGCTAACTCTGAGCCACGGTCCATGGTCACATTGTTTGCAAAGCCTAGGCCATTATTCATGCCCTACTTGGTCACAAGCAATGTTACTTATTGACTTTGAGTGCACTCTTCACCTAAATTTTACACCCTTCTATAAGTTAGCTCATCTAATTCCTTTTTTTTTTTCTTTCTTTCTTTCTGATATGGGGTTCCTTTCTCCTCTCTTCTTTACCTTTTAGCCTATAGCATTTTTCTTTTTTTGCAAACAAATATACATGTTTTCAAAAATTCAATCTATTTTTTGAAATATTGGATACAATCATACATGACTATATGTTTACCCGGCCCATGATCACAATTGAAATTCCAATGTGAATTCCATTAGTATTGACACTTCGGCCAGGTGTACCAATATTTGCATTCGTGAGCTAGGTTTTTGCATCCCAAACATGTAAAATGCGAAGTTGTTTACTGTATAATGAATTTGCATTTGAGAGGAAATTTGATAGTTGTTTACGCCTAAAATAAATTAAATGAGGAAGGGATACGTGTATGTTTTAATTGGGCCACAATTTTAGTGATGAACTGAGTTGAGTCCACAGGTGATTTGGGTTCCAAACCAAATGGATTATGATAAGGTGGTTAGCGTCCAAGTTGGGTAAGTCTTTTAAGGTAGTTAAAATTTAACTTAAGTAGGAGATTGTGGAGAGATTTTAGGAAGATTTACTTGGATTTTATTGGAGATTTATTTGGAGTTAATTGTGAGTTGCAGATGGGGAAAACTGCTTTCAAATGTCGTCTTCTACAGAAGGTTTTTGTAGAGGTAGAAGCGAGAATCATGGGGAAACTGTCCAGGAAGTGAGACAAATAAAAGAGAGGAAAAAGATCAATTCAAAATGGCTTGCCCTACACAAAAACCACCCAGTGCGTATGCATATTCAATTTTAAGACTTGTTCTTCTAGATTTCAGTATAGTTTTCCATATTA